AGCTCACACGTACGCGGTTTGCGCTTGTGTGCGTCATCCCCTCCAGTACGGTTGCGTGTTGCTAGCGTGGCAATTCTGGCATCACTGGTCAGGAGCAGGATGTCGGGACAGGATCTAGTCCCGCTGTCTCGACCGGCCGGGCTTATATACCCGGCCGACGCCCAACCACGCGTTGTCGGTCCGTCGGTGGGAGTTGGTTTGCCGTGGGGGCAAGCGCGATAGCGCGAGCGGCGTGCGTGCGAACGAGATAGCACGTGTGGCGCACGTGCAAGCGAGATAGCACGAGCGGCGTGCGTGCGAGCGAGATAGCACGTGTGGCGTACGTGCAAGCGAGATAGCACGAGCGGCGTACGTGTAAGCGAGATAGCACGAGTAGCGTACGTGCAAGCGAGATAGCACGGTTGGCGCATGCGCAAGCAGAATAGGTATAGCAGGAAGAGACAGTGAGGCATGCGAGGTTATACATATATATATTCCGAACGTATTTACAATATTTACAGTATGTACAATAGTAGTGATGACTCTGTCGTTACAAATGAAGAGTTAGGCTATAAGTTAAAGCCGGATATTTTTGATGGAACTGTTCCATTTAGGGAGTTCTTTTCGCAATTCGAGTTGATCGCGCGAGCTAATCAGTGGAGTGACGCGACGAAAAATGTGGCATCAATATCGGGTTTGAGAGGGAAAGCGCGGGCGGTTTTGGAGTGTATAAATGATATTGAGAGAGAGTCTGGATTACGCGGAGTTAAAATCTAAATTAGAGCTGCGTTTTGGAGAGGGATGTTACTCTCAATCTTACTATTCACAATTTACGAATAGAAAACAAAAATCGGGAGAGGATGAGGCTACGTTGGGTTCCGACATTGAGCGTTTATCTCAATTGGCGTATCCGGAATGCTCTCATCAAGTCCGCGATAAGATCGCTTGTGCACAGTTTGTCACGGCTTTGTCAGACAGATTTGTAAGAAGAACTTTACAATTGGAAGGTGTTACTTAATTGAAAATGGCCATACAAAGAGTGATGGCAGTAAAAGTGATCAAAGAGAGTAATTTTGAGAGACACATTTAGATATCTGTTGTTTTGAGATTAAGACAGGAAAGAAGATTCTTTAATGAAAGAGATTGTTTTGCATCCGAAGCCCAATTTAATGTAATTTATTTCTTGTTATTCGTTTGATTTTTCTTTTGTTTCTTAAGGAGTTCGATGAAGAATTTGTTGGAGTCGTCTGGGACTTAAATATTGGTGCTCGGTAACTTGCGGCAGCAGCTCAAGGTAGAGCAAGAAACTAATTTGGTGCCCTGAAGTTGACGAGAATGCAGAGGGTTCGATGACGGTATCCTGTGAATTCCTGGAAAGCGTGTGATTGGAGCCAAGTAATGACGCTCGGTAACCTGCAGCAGCAGCTCAGGGTAGAGCAAGGAGTCATTGTGGCATCCTGGAGTCTTCGCTTTGGAAGAAGAAGACTAGTCAACCCATTCAACATAGACTCGTCGTTCACTGATTGTCAGGACGACAATCTTGAGGAGAGGGGGGGCAGTGTTACGCCCGTCTGTGTGTACTTCGTCTCTGCGAATCGTCTGCGGTAGTTAATCCTGAAGTTGCTCCCGTCTCTAAGAGATCATCTCCAAACACGTTGCTAAGGGTTGTTGTAAAACAACGGCGAACATCTTGAGAGTATTCGGCCATCTTGAGAGTCTCGCATCGGTGGTGATTCCGATCGGACGTATCGGCTGATTTACGAGACTATCTGTTCTTTGCTTTGTGTTCTGTGTTCTAAGCTGTTATTAAAGTTCCTTTCGTTCTTTTAAAAAAATGTTTATTATTTACTTCGCGGTACGCAAGTGTCGGTTGTGTCACGCGTATTCGAGTAATATCGAAGTCGACGCGCGGGCGCAACAATATATACGGTATTATGCAATGTTTAATTTCAAATTTGTATGAAAATGCTTTTTTGAGTGTTACACATCAACGGCAGTTACTAATTAAATCAGTTACAGAAACTTTAAACAGAAATCATTTAACTTCCAACATATTCAATGAGACATGTATTTGTGGTTATACTCACGCAAAAATTGTACTGGATATTTTAAAATCTATGGCAAATATATTGTTGAACAATTATAGGAAGTTAAAAACTAATTACTATTTAGGAAATATGAACGTAAAGAAAAGGAAGCTCTAAACATTATTATAATTTAAAACATTTCTCATACATTGTAAGATATTCAAATAGATTAAAAGATTATTTTTAGAAAAGTGCAATTATGTTGTACACCTAATATATTATTTTGAGTGCAATTTTTTAAATATTTTATACCAAATATGATTTTATTTTATGTTTCGTAGTTCATAAGATTATGTTTCATATGATATGAAAAGTTTTCTGTTTGTATAAAGTTATATTTTATTATTATAGAATTATTATTTTAAGGAAACAATGTATTAAATCTTATAGTAAAACTAAAATAAAGGTTTGTTATGTTTCATGTCGTATCCACAAAAAGATTTGATTTTAATATTTGTGATATTATGTTATTAAACAAAATTTATATAATGAAGGTATTTTAAATAATTTAACTAACTTAAATTTAAATGTCAAATAATCGCGGGCTAAATAAGAGCCAGAACGCGGATGGTAGTGCGTCAGTTTCATAAGTTTTCTAATATTTAAAGAATCAGGGAATTGTTACAAAATAAATTGTATTTAACTCTATTCATTTTCAAATATTTAAATTTAACAATTTAAAGAAATTAAGGCTCTCAAATGACATCACAAATTTCAAATAATCGCAGGCTAAATAAGAGCCAGAACACGGATGGTAGTGCGTCAGTTTCATAAATTTACTTGGTGCTATACCAAGATTTTTAAATATAATCTCAATTTTATATTTATAATAACCCCTCTTTACCCCCCTAGAGAAACGAAGGCGAGGAAAATATTGGGGCGCAGTCGCTAAATCGGGAATTCCCGATTCAGCGACTTCGCCCCAATATTTTCCTCGCCTTCGTTTCTCTAGGGGGGTAAAGAGGGGTTATTATAAATATAAAATTGAGATTATATTTAAAAATCTATCATAGAAAACTTATTTTTCTATGAAACTGACGCACTACCATCCGTGTTCTGGCTCTTATTTAGCCTGCGATTATTTGAAATTTGTGATGTCATTTGAGAGCCTTAATTTCTTTAAATTGTTAAATTTAAATATTTGAAAATGAATAGAGTTAAATACAATTTATTTTGTAACAATTCCCTGATTCTTTAAATATATTAATTAAAACACGATACCGATCATGTTACTTTTTCCCTAGGACGGAAACGTGAAAAGTGAAAAATTAATTTCAATAATAAAAATTTTTACTTTTCACATTTCCGCCCTAGGGAAACTGTTACATGATCGCTACCCTGTTATTAATTCAATATTTTAAAAGAGGTGATTTGAAAAAATTCTATCCGTTAGTCTAGTAGTCAGGCTTAGGAAATTTTTTTTACTATTTTTCCCGTGTTCCTTGTCAAAAATGTTTTCAGAAACGACCTTTTAAATAGGGGGCCACAGTTATCGTAATCGTGCCGTCAGGCTGGCTATTATCAGCTGATGCAACGTTGCCACATCGAGTAGGGCGGCCTGGAAATAAAGATGGCCGTGGCTCATCACATTATCAGCTCTCAATCTCTCGAAGAGGAACTTCGTCGCTTTTGGGAGGTTGAAGAACTCCCACGACAATCAATTCTTACGCTGCAAGAAAAACAGTGTGAAGAGCATTTCTGCTCGATTCATTCTTGCGATTCCGACGGACGGTACATCGTTCGTCTGCCGTTCAAAACGATTCCTCCGATCGATATCGGTAATTCAAGATTCCGCGCCGAAAAAATGTTAAATTCACTAATACGGAGATTTCGTGATAAACCCGAGATAGCGAAAGAATATTCCGAACTTATCTCCGAATATCAACGTCTTGGGCATATGCGCCCAGCGCCGATGCCTCAAGGTGACATCGAACAAACTGTCTATCTCCCGCATCACGGGGGGATCCGGGAAAGCAGCTCAACCACGCATCTTCGCGTAGTTTTCAACGCTTCGAGCGTTACTTCGAACGGCACATCCTTAAACGATCATCTATACGCCGGTCCTAAATTACAAACCGATCTCATGTCGGTAATATTACAGCGGCACCGCTATAAATACGTGTATTTATCCGACATCGCGAAAATGTATCGCCAAATTCTAATCGATCCTTGCGATACAAATTATCAGCGGATTCTGTGGAAATCATCGTTCTCGGAACCTCTTATCAATTATCAACTCATAACGGTTACGTATGGAATGGCATGTGCCCAGTTTCTTGCCCTTCGGGTATTAAAACAACTAGTCATCGACGAAGGTCAGCACTTTCCGCTCGCAGTTCCTATTCTGAGCGATAATATCTATGTCGACGACCTACTCTTCGGAGCTGATACAAGTTGAATCCGACAAGTGCGCGATCAATTAAATTCGATGATAAAACGCGGCGGATTCGTAATGAGAAAATGGGCTAGTAATTCGCCCTCTCTTCTCGATGATATGGACATAGCAGACCATGGTTTAGCCACTAAAAAACCTCTTGCTGAAGATGAACAAACCAAGATCCTCGGCATCAGGTGGAAGCCGGCAAACGATGTTTTCGAGTTTCGCGTGTCGCTAGCTGATAACGCCCCGGAGGCCAAGCGATCTTGTCCGCGATTGCAAAGTTCTACGATCCGCTCGGGTGAGTCACTCCGGTCACGATTACAGCAAAAATCTTTATGCAGCTACTCTGGCGAATTAAAATTGGTTGGGATGACGCGATTTCCGAGTCACACATCGCAAAGTGGAGAAACATTTATTCTCGACTCTCACATCTCAGTAATTCGCGAATGATGCGCTGGGTTGGTCTCGGATCGGACACAAATCACACCGAAATACGTGGATTTGCGGATGCATCTACCCACGCGTATGCCGCATGCGTCTATATCAAAATTATTTCGTCAGCAGGCAAAATTACGACAACGTTGCTCGTCGGGAAATCAAAGATCGCGCCGCTATAATCTCTGAGCATACCACGGCTCGAATTATCCGCAGCATTATTACTAGCACGACTCGTCGAGTTCGTTCGCGGATCGAACGGTTATAAGAATGTCCCGTGTTATTGCTGGACAGATTCCACGATCGTGCTCGCGTGGGTAAGTCAACCTCCTTCCCGATGGAAGACTTTTGTCGCAGATCGCGTTAACGACATTCAGACTCGTTTTCCAAATGTCGAATGGCGGCACGTGTCAACGGAAGACAACCTCGCGGATTGCGCTTCGCGCGGAATATACGGCGATGAAATTATCAATCGCGAGCTATGGTGGCAAGGCCCTCCATGGCTGCTCTACAATTCTGATCAATGGCCGCGTAGCAATGCGCGTCTTCCCAAGGAAGCGCCTCTCGAAGAGAAGGTTAGTTCGCTGCAATGCTCTCAACCGCACTTCACGTGGGACCTCGCTTCGAAATATTCATCGTGGCCACAATTAATTCGAGTCACCGCGTATATCTACAAATTCGTAAATACTTGTCGTCGTAATCACTCTCGTCGCGACGTAAACTCATCGCCGCTCTCGTCTGTATCGTCTCACCCTCCGATATCAAAAAATGCTTCGCTTTCTGCATCAGATTGCAACCTCGCTAAAACATTCTGGATCAAGACAATACAAAGCAGCTTGTTTCCATCGGAAATAAACTCCTTATAATAAAAACAGAGTCTCTCGTCGAGAAGCTCAATTCTCTCTCTTCGACCGTTCCTTGATCAGGACGGAAGTCTTCGCGTGGGCGGACGGCTCAGCAAAGCCCCGTTGCCAATGCCGGTTCGACATCCGATCCTTCTCTCATCTCATCCGCTAGTCACATTGATGGTGCATCACGCGCATATACGAGCGCTGCACGCCGGACCGCAACTCACGCTAAATACTTTGCATCGCGACTACTGGATAATTCGCGCGCGCAATATAGTCAAATCCGTCATCCACAAATGTCACGTGCGTTTGCGAGCGAGCCGCGATTCCTATACAAATCATGGGGGATTTACCCGAACCACGAGTGTCGGAGAGCTCTCGCTGTTTTTCTCACTGTGGCCTCGACTACGCGGGACCCGTGCAAATTCGCGCCTCAGCAAAGCTTACATTGCGCTTTTTATCTGTTTAGCAACAAAAGCGATCCACTTAGAGTTAGTGGGAGATTATTTCACGCCCGCTTTCTTAAACGCATACTCTCGCTTTTGCGCTCGTCGCGGGTTACCGCAATCTATGTACTCGGACAACGGGACCACGTTCGTTGGGGCGGACCGAGAATTAACTGTCGCGTACAGATCAACGTTACAAGATCCGAATTTTCTGAACATGACCGCCTCCGATAACGTAATGTGGAATTTCATTCCCCCGTCTGCTCCACATTTCGGCGGATTGTGGGAGGCGGGCGTCCGAAGCATTAAAACTCATTGCGTCGCGTGTTAGGTAATCATACTCTAACATTCGAGGAATTCTCGACGTTATTATGCAGAATCGAAGCGTGTCTAAATTCTAGGCCGATTGCGCCCCTCTCCGATACGCTTGAGGACTACAAGTGTCTAACCCCCGGTCACTTTTTAATCGGATCCGCGCTTATTGTCAACCCGGAACCATCATTGCTCGATCTCAACGAAAATCGTCTTTCGAGGTGGCAGCTCGTACGACACGTTACCGAGCGATTCTGGAAGCTATAGAGTAACGATTACTTAAATACGTTATAACAAAGAGCAAAATGGCGAAAGGTCAAGCCGCCGATTAAACCCGGGCAAATTGTTTTGTTGCGTAATCCGCTGTTACCCCCCTGTAAATGGGAGTTGGGCCGAGTGACACGCTGTCACCTCGGCTCCGACGGCTTCGTACGGGTCGTCACCGTAAAGACGGCCACCTCCGAATTCAAAAGACCGATTGTTAAACTGTGCTTACAACCGGTCAATATTGAGGCGACGAGCAATTAAGTATCTCCGTTGCGGTACAATTTATATTCTTACTATAAGTTCTTAGATTAAGTTTAAAAAATGTCAAGATGCGACTCCTACTCCGCCAGGGCGGGCGGAACGCTCAATACGTCACTACGTCACGTAGACGAAAATCATCTTCGCCTGTGTCGTTAATTGCTGCATATGCTCTTGACAAATCAATTAACGGTCTTGTATTAATCATTTTGGAACTATCGTTCCAAGGCGGGCGGTATGTTCAAAATTCAAAGGGTCGTCGCCGTTAAATAAAAATAATAAGAGCCTAACTCAAAACACGATCGAGCGAGAATAAATAACACCACGTTCAGCTAATCGGTGCGTGCTTGTTTGCTTCATAACACATGAAAAACTGTGACAAACAGCAAGTTCTCGAAGGTTCGACATCGAAAAACTTTATTATTTCCATCGGCAGAGCGCAAGCTTCCGCGGTCGACCAATTTAGTCTGCCTACGACAAAGATTCGAGCCGATCGACATTCATCGATCTCGATCAATTCTCTTTCTTTATTCTCGCTCGTGTCGAAATTACCGTAGCTTACTCGTCTCGAAATCGTCCGAATCGTCTCGCATCCGATCGCGTTCATATTCTCGCGGCGGTCAATTCGGTAATATCTCAAATCGTATTCTTTAATTCTTTTGTGCTGAGATATTGTGAACGTTAATTGTTTGGAGTCCGAGAGTCGACGCTCGTTACCCGTATCGCAAATGTCCTCTGCCTCGCGTTAAATTCCATCCGGCGTCCGCGTGCAAGATTTCCGTCCTCGCGAGAGTTTCTAGCAAGAAGCTCTTCAAGATTCCCGAAACGCGGAAAAGGGCAGTATTTAACAGGACATTGTGAAGATTTCCGTCGGAGTCGCGGAATACGTGCCGTCGCTCGCTCCTATTGTTCTCAAATAAACGAATATTTAGAACAATCTGCACTCGAGTGTTCTCTCAAACTATCCTTATCCTCCAGCGGATCTTCGGATTCGCGCTACACACAGTTTCTTGCTCATCTCTGAGCGATTCTGAAAGATTCGGGCGATCTCGTCGAGGTCGACTCCCGAACATATTGGTCCTTCGAGCCGGATAGAAGCGTGTGTGGAGGATAAGTTTGCGAGTGAGTGATATTTTGATACATCTACGATGTCGGAGCACTTTGTACCTCAACAGCAGCTGCAACGGTCGATCGAACGCTACCTCGATAATTTCAAAAAAATCGACAGGAGCAATCTAACCCCGGCTAAGGTGCGCTCGAGGATCTCAACGCTCAAGGAATACTCCGCGTTCAGTCAATTCTTCAACGGACATACAGATTTGTCGCAGAGGATCCCGGAAGCAACCCGGTCGTCCTTTGTCTACTTCAAGGACAATTATTTCGATTCGATTTTCGCAGCCTATCAAAACGCTCTGGACCACATGGCAGAGATCTTGGAGGAATTGAAACCGGCCGTGAGTCCAAATCTATCCTTTTCCTCGACGAGGCTGCACGCGGAAGCGTCCGCGTTTTCTTTATCGCATCTTCTGCCCATTAAATTACCTCCGTTCGACGGTAATTATGACGAATGGGAACAATTTCGCGATCGATTTACTACGCTAATTCGAAACAATACCGAGTTAACTGACTTTGCGCGTATTCATTTTTTATCATCGTGTCTGAAAGGTAGCGCGCTGGAATGTATCGCGAATATTTCTATAACGGCCGCTAATTTTGAAATAGCGTGGAAAGCCTTGACTTCGCGATACGAAGACAAACTGCGGTCGATAAACAAACATCTATCGACATTGCTCAATTTATCTTCTATCACGCGCGAATCTGCTACCGAGATGCAGACGTTATGCGATAAAGATAATATTGCGGTAGCATCATTGAAAACCCTTGGTCGAAAACCGGAAGAACTCTGGAAAGATGTTCTAGTTTACGTAATTGTACAAAAATTAGATCCGGTAACGCGCAAGAGTTGGAATGTAAGCATCAGCAATACAGATGCCCCGCCATCTTACGATACGTTAATCCGATTTCTTCAGTCTCGCACTCGTACGTTAGCGGCATCCGCTCCCGCGTCCGTCTCTAAAAATGTAAAACGTGTAAAACCAGTTGCAATATCGCGAGCTCATGCCGCTATCGCATCCACTAGCGCACAATCGCAGTGTCCATTGTGTCCAGCTCGACACTTTATTAATGAATGTCCTGCGTTCGTGGTCAAAAATGCGAGTCAACGTCGCGATATAGTAAAGCAACAAAAACGTTGTTTTAATTGTTTAAGCTCGAAGCATTCAGTTCAAGAATGCAAAAGTAAATATTCGTGTCGGATTTGCCACAAAAGGCATCATTCGATGCTACACGTTGACTCGGATTCCGTAGCTTACTCGTCTCAAAATCGTTCCGAATTGTCTCGCATCCGATCGCGTTCATATTCTCGCGGCGGTCAATTCGGTAATATCTCAAA